GGTCCTTTCCGTCGAATTTCTTGAGGCCTTTGATCACGGTTGCCAGGTTTGTAGAACTATCGCTAGCGAACGCGTTTCCACCTCCTGTGTTGCTCGTTGCGGTATCCATTGCTCGTTCCAGCTTAATTTTCTTCGTCTTGATAAAAGTACTTCCTGCTGTAGGAGTAAGTTTGATCGTGGTTCTACTGCCTGTACCCGAGACTTCCCCACCCCGTTCCTGCTACTGATATAGAGGACTCCGGTTGTGGTTTTCTTGTTTCCGATCCCGCTCCTGCTATGATATAGAGGATCCCGATTGTTGATCGCCTCCACAGATGATACAGTGTAGTTCCTTGTGCACCCGATGCGTATGCCGCTCGAGACTCCCACGCACGTGACCCTTGCTGCTAGTTCATCGCAGAGGTACCCACTGCTGCCGCAGTGGTGGTAACGTGTGTATACAACGTGAACTCTCAGCACCTTGGTGTAGATGACCAAGTTTGCGCGTTTGCTTGTGGTGCCGTTGACCGATGACGGCTCGCAATCTCCAGAAATCTCCGAAATCACGTTCTCTCGTTGTTCACGGATGAATGCCAATGCCCCAAGAGGAGGTTGCCTCGATCATCCCGTGATGCTCGCAGCTCGCGGTGTGTGCGTTAGCCGAGGCTCATAACCTGTCAGCGTAGTTTCGCTGTGCACTAGCAATAGTACGATGCTTCAGATCTCAGGAGGCTGTGTAGCCTACCTCAGAGGTTCACACTCTGTGCGGCTTCAACTGCGAGAGACGTGTGGAGATGTATTTATTAATTGCTGACTCCCGAGTCAGATTGATGTTGCTGGTACTGAAGAGGAATGAGAGTGGTGGCGAGCTTGCGGCTGCAACAGTCTCCTCGAATACCGGACAAATAAGCCGATCACACGAAAGATCTAGAATGCTTCCAGAATGATTCTGGAAGCCCTCCTACGTCCTAGAAGAGTATCAAGTGCAACCTAGGTCTATAACGCTTCCAGCAGGTTCCAGGAGGTTTCAGAAGGTTTCCAGAAGCTACACACGTTCTACGTCGATGTCCCGGTCGACCTTGACCTAGCATGCTTCCGGAATATTTTTAAACCAAGAGAATACATGCCACGGAAAGATAAATTATTTTCTACTGCTCCACAGACTAGTTGCTGCAATCGTATTCAAAGGTTAATCAAACCGTGTCCGACTACTGGTGGTCTCGACGCACGATTTTCCTGACATGTACCTCTTTCTCTCCAGCCGGTGATGATGACTCCTAGTCTCAGTTGTTATACCTCGCATAGCGCGCAGAGGGAATGGCGGACTCCAGAATATCTGTCGTTGATTTTTATTGACTTGCGGACCTCTCGTGGCCAGTTTATATGAGTGTACCTTTTTAGGGTATGTTAGCCTGCGACCACGGGAATCGGCCGCGTCGAGAGTTGTTGGATCAGTACGGACATACGAAGGTATTGGTAGACAGAGATCGGAACGGTTTTTTATGTGAAGCAACAACAACAACAACGACAATCAAGAAAATGGAAAAAGCGTTGAATTCATTGTCTTGTTTGGAGATATTTTCTGGATTTTCTTGGTTGAAAGCCCGCCTGCCGCAGGCACGCACGTGTATCATGTACAGTCGTGGTCGGGGTTTAGCGTTTCCCTGATTAGCGGCATGCACTGAATAGCGGTCCCAAAATCTCGTGGCACGGCTGCACCTCGGTACTCAAACTGCACAGTGCAATATTTCTGACAATCCGGTTAAATTTGCGGCGATGCCCTCAACAGCGGTTACAACAATTACTCGTGGACCGCTAAAAAACCGGGACCACGCCTGTATGCGATGAAAGTAACTTTGATTCTTCATGTTCGACACACTGATGGCGTACGTACATTTGTTTTTCTAAAGCACCACAAGAATAGAGGATTTTGAGATACTTGGTCTCATCGCTATAACTCCATATGCAGCTGGCTAACGAATGACGGGGGTGCTTTGCCGGAGGAACCCCGTGTAGTCACAAGTATATGAACGCGCAGTGCAATCTGGAAGAAGCCCCGTGAAAAAAACAACTCACTCTCTTTAATTTCGATGCGGAACAGCAGCTACTGTAGCTGTTGTTGCTATTGCCTTGGCTACAGGTAGTATGGGAATGGCAGCTGTGAGGAGCGATCAGCTCCCTCAGGGCTACTAGATCCATCCTGTCCCCTGTTCATCCTTCCATCGTGGAGACACATCTCATCCCGCACCTTCTAGAAGGAATCATTCTCTTTGTCCGCCTACGCATGCATCTAAATCCTAACACTAGCCCACCCTGGAGGTTGTCATACATACATCTGAAAATACAAACCACAGATTAAACCTTGGAGCTTCACACGATCCCAAAATGAGAGTTTCGAGGATGCGGGGCTCCAAAACATCACAATACCTACACTTCTCACTCCACGAGTCGCAGGAAAGACCATCGTCTGGCCTCTACAACAAAAGAAGGTACAGGACCACGGCTTGTCCTGCCGACGACGCCAAGTGTAAGGATAAGCACACACACGCGGTACAATTTGTAAGACCCCCGGGACGAGGAACTCATTTGGTATTCACTCGTGCGGAGCAGCAGCTGATGCTGTTGCCTTGGCTACAGGGAGGAATGGCAACCGTGGGGCATAGACCCTCAAGCAAGGGGCTGCAAGATTCTGTCCCCCCTATTTTATCTTTCCATCGGGGAGTTATGTCTCCTAGCCCCTTCTAGAAGGGATCACTATCTTCGATGTTCCTTCTACACATCTAGATCCTATGGAACCCGCAAGCATCGCGGACCCGCAACCTCCCACACATGCACGACCAACACACATCGGCGAATAAATGAATCCGTCCACAAGACCCTCCAGATCTACTTCACACATTAGGCTCACCACCTTCGTAGAGGACGACGTTCTCCTCCCAGACGGGGTGAACGATATGGTATCCTTCCGACGAAAAAAGAAAAACTGAGATGATAGCCACCCAACTCTACACACGTTTACAAACAATGATGGTCAGCTTCAAGTGCTCCTTCCGGTACAAACCGGGCGCCCACCCAATGAAAAGCACCCGCGGAGATGGGGAAAATGCTTGGAGTTACGTTGTGCCGCCCCATGGGTGTTGTGAACTCGGAGGCCAAACCGTTCGGTCCAGCAGTCTCCTCCGCGCCTACCCGCACCTGTCGGGGGGCACCGCCAACAATAACGATGCGCCAACCCGTAAGACCCACGGTTTTCATAGGTAAAACCTCTTCCAACTAGCGACTACGTTCACCCGCTTCGAGTGCAAATTCCGCAACAATGCCCCAACGAATGGGGTAACATGGTACCGTGAATGCTGCATCCTGCGTAAAGACCCCTGCAAGCACCAGGGAGGCCACCCCTTCGTTGCGGAAGGACACCATCGATGTTGCCTTAGGCACCATCAACCTTTCTTTGGGGAGAAAGACGCGGTGGTGCTAGCGCCTTCTACTCCCCTTCGGAAGTTCCAGTCCGATATACATGCTGCCAGCTTCATCACCAACATTTATCGTACGAGCACCTCCCGTGCCACACCGTCAAGGCCACCACGCTCCATCGCTGCCGTGAGTATCAACAAGCTGATCGCCATCCCAGTCGTGGCCCTCTCGCTCCACCGACATGATCACTCGCGGAGGCACAGTCAGTGGACGCCCACGCCCTGAGGGCCTCTCCCCGTATCCACCAGTACCGCCTGCTTCAGCATCAACGCTAGCAGCATCGACCTCTTGCACACCACCACGACTTCCTCGCTCCACAACAGCCCCATCGACATTGGGTATCGCCACAGCAGACGAAGAATCTTCAGCGCTTCCCGCGGAAGGCTGAGGTCTAGGGTGTCAACAGCCATCCCACATGGGGCCAGCAAGCATGAAAAGAGACGCCAATAGGGGGCCCCGTCGGGAAAGAGCAAGCGGACGTTGTCACCCGCAGAGCGAAGGCGGGGTGTCCGGCGGCAAGAAGCCCCCGGCCCGCAGGAGGCGGTTTTCTCGCTGCTCCAGCTCGGACGCTTCAACGATTCGGCGAAACCCCTCCGTTTCTACGAACTCTCTCTGGAAGTTGGTCTGCGGTCGTCGATTTCAAGTTTGTTGGGGCAGCGAAGAGACGACGCGGGGAGAGAAGTGGAATATTGCATAGACTCCTCTGCAACACCCGGCTGTGTGTCATGCAGCTTGGTCGATGGACGCCAGTGGGGTGCAAGACTTGGCGATGGTAGCTTGGTTTGGGTGTCACGCGATTTTCGGTACAGATCGGACGAAGAACGGCGCGCAAAAGAAAAGCGGTGGAAATACAAGGCAGCATGTTTCAGCCCCAACATTGCTTTCCTCGTGCCGCTTCATGACCACGGTGTGGCTATTGACAGGCCACGAAGGTCACCGCAAGACAAAGCACAACAGTTTCCATCGGACAGTCAACGACAACGACAGCAACAATAGGAAACAACAGAGGGCTTCAATGGAGCGATAGCGGGAGGCGATATCGTACCCATTCCCCTCTTCATTCTTACCTCCATGACGGTCAGAACCTCTACTCTAGCGCGGTCGAAGATGTCGTAGGCCGTCACGTGCGTCGACAAAATCTCCTCTCGACACTCCCCCGAAATGTTTACCTGCCGCCGCGATCAATGGCACACGACAAATATCGTTACACATTGGGGTGGGGTGGGTCTTGATTGCGTTGTGCTCTCAGTGCAAAAGAAGCAACACACTTTGCAAGCAACGGTCTAGACTTTCCGTCACCAGAAAAATCAAAGGTATTCTTTGTCATATTGAAAGACGCATGCTGATATTCAGTGACACACCAAAACGAGAACAGCACCCACACCTGGTCAGGGGCCCCTTCCCTGATGTACTGAGCCACGATGCGCATCGTTACCGCCTGACAACAGAACAAAAACACGGGGGAAGAGGGCGGGCGACACACGTGTCATTAACGAACGGCAGACCTGTCTGTGAACACGGCCTTCGACCGCACCTCCGCATTCGGCTGGTACAAATGGTGAAGGAAAGGGTGAAGGATGTCGCGTGGTTCGTCACCTGTCTAGCAAAGTATTCCTTGATCTCCTCCCTGTCTAGCGAGTCGAGGTAGAAGTCCACCAGCTCTTGGGCCACCTTCGTCTCGATGTATCTCCGAAACTCGGCCCGGAGTTGCTCGACCGACAGCTGCTCTGCGAGGCTAGCCTTGAGCTTTCGGGGGTATCAGTAGGGTGGCACAGGGCAGGGGCAGGGAGGGAGGAGGTCAGCACACCCGAGACAGTGGCAACGGGGGGAAGCGGAGAAGGAGGCCTAAGACCCCACAATAAAATGGTTCGACGTACCGACTACGGACGATTTGGGCACCGATTTTTTTCTCTGCAGCCATACTGCAGAATGCCTCGCTGTGGTACGTGCGACAATTGTTTTTCGTATGAGGGAACGATTTGCGTCCTGCGGAGGGGGGGGGGGGGGGCATGATGACGTGAACCCCTCCCTATAACCACGCCAACGACCACTACCCCCGTCTGTCAAGGGCTTCCTCGCGGGAATCTGTTTTCCTAGGTTACTGTCTGTGAAGGCCACGGAGATGGACTCCACACGAAATCAAAGCCATGGGGAACGCGAGTGAGACTTTAAGAGAATCTTGATCATGCGTTTTACTGCATGCACAAACGCGGCACCTGGAGTCTAGCTTGCACCCTTATACAAACCGTCGGAATCACGATCATATCGAATCAGGACGATTGGCACGCTACTAAAAGCCGTTGGAAATCATGACGAACGTCGACGCTGACAAAGGTGTGCTGAGAACGAAGAAGGCGGCCATCACCCAAAGCATCACTCTCGTTGCTGCCTCTGCACTCTTTTCACTCTCTGCTGCCATATATGGCGGCATCCGCCTGCCCGTGTGCATGCCCACTGTCAAACTGAACCGCGTCAGTCCGAAGAGGGCAACCTACAGAAGTCTCACACAACACCGCTTTCCTCTCTGGGAGTAAAGCTCACAAACCTCGACCATTCGTGACGTGGATAAAATACCTGCGCCGGCGAAGGTAGATCTGAGAAGCCCTTGGTGAACGACCACAGGTACTCCTCGTCTCTCGTCCACTTCTTCAACACAGGCTCGCCGATGGAGCCCCACAACACCGTGTGCGTCGTTAGCGCAGGGTCTGCACGGTAAAGGGATGTTGCCGGGGGGCGGAGAGATAAGACCCGCATCAGGTGTGGCGGTAGCTGGGCCTTGTTTCTCTTTTTCTTCGTACGGCCACGACGAACCTCTCTTCCGTTATTGTCGCACACGGGGGAAACATGTCATGCCCTGTTATTAGCCTTCTCCTCCCCGCGCCAATGGCCAAACACAATTTATGACGTCCCACCCCCTCAGACGTGGCGCGACCTTCTCCAGAACAATTACTCTCCATACGGGGAAATAGCTGCCTTCAGCGTCCCACGCTCCCCAGAACAACATCTCACGCTGGGTGCACCTAGATGAAAAAAATGGCCAACAATATGACAGAAATCGATAGACAACAACGGCAGCACCAGCAGCACCAGCTCCAGCTCCAGCACCAGCAAAAGCAACGCCAACGACTCTGTCTGCCTGTCCAACAACAAATCCAAGATAACCTAGAACCGGTGCCGTAACTCACACACGATGGCCACTCTTCTGACAATAACATGTTGGCCGTCCAGGACAACGACAACGACGACAGCATAGCTGAACAGGAGCAAAGTCAGGCATGATAGGGTCCACTTCATCGTCTCGTACTCGTTGAACTGCTTCCGGACCCATCTCAGCTGACGGGTGCACACAAACCTGGTCTTGGCGGCAAGAGACACCAGAGCGCACACGGCACGCATGAGGCCTGTTGCAGGCACGTGCACGTAAGATTGCCGCCACCTTCAACATCACCAAGACCAACAACAACAGAAACACAACAACAACAACAACATCAACAACAACAACAACATCAACAACATCAACAACAATAACAACAACAATGGCGGCAACGACGACGGCTACAACGACAGCGCAAAAGACAAACATACCACAAGTCGAACCACCGACGTCAACGCCAACCTTCCCCTCTCCTCCCTTCATCTCACCAAATATAGCATATGGTGTAGAACCCCACGGCGTTCATCGCCAAAGTCACGGTCCTCGACGTGCTCGTAGTGGTGCACAAGTTAACAGTCTCGTCGAAAACGTAGGCACCCGGAACAAGCAGGGCCACTAGCGCCGGGGTCAGGCTGATGCTCGAGAGCAACATGATCTGGTACCTAACAGAGGCGTCATCAAATACTGGTGAGGCAGGGCGGCATCAATCGACCTTTTATCAACACAGCACGAAACCAGTCCACAGAGAAAAATGTACGCCCCGTTGCCCTTTCCCCTGTGGATGCCTCATTCTCCAAAGATTTCGCGTCAGCGGTGGTCTAAGCGGCCCATTCTTAATGGACTCGGTCCTCGATGCCTCCACGTGTTTTGGGGATGTAGAACCTGAAAAATCGGTCCACATGGGGTGCGTGATACCTTGTCACTGGTCACGAGATGTAATGCCTGTCCCCAAAACTCATCACCCCTGCCCCAAACATCGAAGAGTAGACTCGAAGGTGCAGCCTTTCATATTTCATTCTTGAAACAAGCACCCAAGACCAACGACGGCGCCGGAGCTCACTTTGCGGGCCACATGTTTTCGTCGTGCTTGACCAAAATTCTCCACATCCGGTACACCCGGATGAAAAATGCGAACATGTGCGTGCATAGCGCCGGCCACGCCAGGAGTCTCTTGGGCATCGAAAAGAGCGAGGGACGGGGGAGGGGTGCAGGCAGTATGAGAAAACCGAGTGAATAAACGAGAACCGGCAAGTCAACGCTCCGTGCGGTACCGGCCGACCACACCACCGTGTCTTGAAATCACAATCGTGACACAAGGTGGACGCGAACATCAACACACAGCTACCTTGCTTCGAGTCTCCAAAGAAGTGCAAAATAAAAGTCGCCAACCCCCACGGCAACTCCACCCACGATGCGTATCTTTCCAAACACTAAAAACTCCAAAGCTGTGTATGGGGTATTCCGTCTATCCTGGGCGTCAGTTTTTCGCCCGATTGCTTTGCGACGTGTCTACTGGGGAAACACAGGAGGAAAGCCGCACAAGTCTCGTTCCTCCCGCTGCATGCCTACTTAGCTTCATATTTCTAACTTTTTAATCTCTTGAGGTTTGACCATCTCTTTCCTCCACCGGCCGTGAAGTCATCGAAGAATGCAGTACGCCAATGTTACATCATTCCTACTACGGGCACGTCGTGAATATTAGTCTCCCTTCTTCTGCATCAACGTTTTCGTGCTCTCCATTCACTGGTGTAAGATTCCTGTCAGCGCCAGGAGCCTTACCACCGCCAATAATAACGGCGCATTTTTCCCGCCGCAGCCTCGCCGGCATAGCTTCTGGCTCTAGTTGTCAGTTACAACAAGTGACCGTTCTCCCTTGGTGAAGTTCACGCTCCAATTGACACTACCGTGAAAACAATGAGTCAGACTTGTGCGTTCCATCCGACGTATTTCTTTCGGTCGACTACGTATTTCGGAAAGTTCATGGTTCATGGAAGCACAAGCTGGGGCCAGACAAGACGGAGTGGAACCAGGGCACGAAATGTTGTGTACGTTCCGGGTGCAACCACTTCACACACACCCTCCGAGAGAGAGAGGGGCGCACCTCGAGGTAGCACTTGGCAAGAATGTCGCCCTCGCTCCTCCGAAATAGACCATTATCCAGAGCAACCGAAATCGTCCATCCGAAGCCACCGAACGTCTGGAGGAATGCAGCGAGATCGAGAACGGGGCGGGAGAAGCACGAAAACCGCAAGAGACGGCGAGAGCCGAGGGGGTGGGTCGAACGAGGCAAAGGGAAGAGCACGAAGGGGCCGAGAATTCGGGGTGGTAGACAAGAGAGACAGACAGACAGAGACGGCGGGCCGGTCGTTGTTGCTTCTTTAAGGGCAACTCATGGTGAAAGGTTCTGCAGACGGAAACACCAAGCAGGAAAACACTCTCCCTGCAGAAATACCACCAACTTGCAATCAGTGCGGGCACCAGAGACGGCGGAAGTCGTCGTTCTCATCACCGCGGGGGAATGGGCAACAACGAATCACCCAACCTTGAAACGTGAGAGCCGACGTCGACCGAGCCTTTCCGAAGATCGCGAACGTAACACTACCTACACATGGTCGAGCGGCGAAGCGAGCAACCGACAAAGGTAACAACAAGCAGGCACCAACGTGTGTCCAGCTTCGTCTACTGCCCGCACACCATGACGATGACGATGTCGACGTTCTTGGTCACGTACGGCGGCCAATGCCGCCAACTCAACAGGTGGACGCAAACGCCCAGGGCAAAGGCTTGGACTGTCCCCACAAACCCCAGCATGATGTAGTCCACCATGGTCAAGGGCTCCCAGACTTCTTCGTCGGACATCTTGTACGAAAGCTCGCCTCCAAGCGTGAGCGGTGCAGTCAAGACTCTTTGCGGATGCGAAGCCTGATAATGTATCGTGAGAGGAATCCTGACAGGCGCGAGACGTGCGCGAGACGGCGACGGCGGAGGGTGTTATCCTACAAACGTCCGTCGCCCAGCGTTTCTACTATATATTGTAGTAGCAAGGGGGGGGGAGGGGGGGGGGACTCATAGTCGTGCATGCCGTAGTCGTTAGACCATTGACCTCGCATCCCTACAAAGCAGGGACGGAGCACGCCGGGTTCTCACCGGACCAACCTCTCACATCACCAAGCGCGAAGCGCCGTGAGATATTCGGCGAGTCGCATGAAGTGTGCGCTGCGTCCTGCTACGGGTGTTCGGCATCTTGTGCTTACTTCCTTGCGTACGGATGACAGCTGCGTATGAATTTATTTATTTTCTGGTGCTTTCACTTCCAGAGACAGTTGTAAGCACTGTGTAACTGCCTCGAGGGTGCTTGACCATTTTAACACAACGTGGTGCGATCATCCCCCTTGCGCGGAGCGAGGGTTCTCCACCCCGCACAACATGATCTACTCGACCACCATTATGGTTACCGCCAAAAAAAAATGGAGGTAAAAAAAAAAAAACGGTAACCTGGTTGCCGAGTTCACGAAGTGAATTGGCTTGTTTTACAACGTCTTTGCCAAGCGACGAAAACCCAATCCCGATGGCAAACACCGGGGGGGGCGGCTTGTTTTACAACGTCGTTGCCAAGCGACAAAAACCCAACCCCGATGGCAAACACCGATGGGGGGGGGAGGGGGGGGGAGGGGGAGGGGGGAGCTTGTTTTACAACGTCGTTGCCAAGCGACGAAAACCCAACCCCGATGGCAAACACCGGGGGGTGTTTGTTGGGTCTCCCACACTATCTTCAGTTTTGCCAAAGTGCCCATGGGCAAGCCCATCGGTAGGCCATGAGCGGCCGATGAACCGTCCATGAGTGCCCTTCAACCGGAATCAGTGTACTCCCAAACGATAGAGTATCTGCTTTGGAAGTGGCATTGTAACGGCTAAAAATCCTAACGCTAATCCCAACCCTAACCACAAGCCGACACGATACATGAAAGGTTGGCGCTGGCTAAGTTCTAGGTTGCCGGTGGCCAAGTTCTGCTGTAGGTTGATGTGCCGGTGGCGAAGTCCTAGGTCGAAGTGCCCACGGTGGGCACTTCGTGGGCAGTTAATGGGCTGCCTATAGGCCCACCCATGGGCAGCTCGTGGGCAGTCCATGAAGTGCCCACGGGCGGTCCAATGGGCTGCCCGTGGGCTGCCCATGGGTGCCCGATGGGCGGTTTAGCAAAACTACCAATAGTGTGGGAGATTGTGTGTCTTGAGAGCGAGGTTAACATACAATGTCGAGGTGTGCCGCACAGACAGACACAGGACGTCGGTGGGCTCCGCGCAAGCAATTGGATCTCGGGAAAAACATCAAAGCCATTTGCTTGCCACAGCAGCAAGACATTTTCATTTTTATTTTTATTTGGAGTGTCTACCTGACGATACTCTTCTCGAAAATCCTTCGTGATGCTTAGGTCGCGTAGAACATACTTCGAAGCACAGAAATAGCATGTGTAGTACTTTTGAGAAGTGTCGTGTTGTGATTTACTATGGGGAGACTTCGGCGTGACAAATAACCGCAATTCAGAGGTCAGGGCATGCGGGTAGCATGCTGCATGTGTGCCCAAGTGAGCGGCACCGACACCCCCGGCAGCCGAAGATTATTCATTCCATAGTCTATGTGGGAACGCGAAAAAAATATTCCGACCCTTGTCTCGGAAATTTCGACAGAGTACAACGTGCCGCACCGTGTCTCTGGGTAGATGCACGATGAAAATAAGCTGGCAGCAGGAGGATCAAACCCACAGCAGTTTGACTTCTAGCTGCCAGTCGTGAAGTTTCCCGCGAGAAGCAGCCCCACCATAGACCTCCAAAATGTCAGGAGTCAGGAGACGCAGAATCGTGGAAAACAACTACAAACTGCATCTTGAACGGCAAGGCAACAACCCAGCAGTGACAGCACCCTGTTATCCCGCGACAAATGGTGGCACGTATGGTGGCACGTGTAACATGAACAGAGCGGACCTTGATGCTTACTAAACGATCGCGCTCTGCCAGGACGTTCTGCTCCTCATAGTAGTGCACTCTTCGAAGCAAGCCTCGCCCGTGTCACGCCCGTTGTACAGTAGTAGCCGCTCGCTACGTCTGCCATATGAGCGAATGAAAGGGCCCATCATCCATCAACAACAACGACGGTTGTTTTTGTGTCTGTGAAGATAGGTGGGACTCAAGGCGACATATGTTGCAGTTGGCTCAGCATGAAGTGCACCAACAGACGTGCATGGACCGGCGTTACCGGCACAGCAGGAGTAGAACACCCGAACATTTACGGCAAGACCCATGCGTAGGCGCAGAGGCTTCGACAGCGCACCGATTCTGTACGAAAAAGAAAAGGAACGTTGAACGTTTGCTTGCTTTTCATGTCCTTTCATGTCCTGCTTTTCGATGTCCTATTGTAACGATGTCATCGAGGGCCGCCTTCCGAGAGCAAGCGAGAGAGACGGACCCAGGTGCCATCGAACTCGTGCTGACCTTTCTCGCAAGCATCCCCGAACGACGTACGGGTGCCACCAGCCTGCAGCCTAGCAACCGAACGACGCACCGGTATAGCACCAGCCTGCCCTGTCGCAACCTCGCTCCTCGTTGGTTGAATACGCGGGCCGTGTGTGTGCAGTGTGCAGCGGACCCGTGGAAAATGAGAAATGAGACATGTTCTTTCTCGGCGGAGAAAAATCAGGCGGAAAGATTCAAATTTGTCGGAGCGCCCGCTCAAGTTTTTTTTTTTCCAACGCAAAAATGAAGTATAATATGGTGACCGGATGTGGTAGACAACATGTATGTCACGCGTATTCTCCACACATGCATATGTGCCATAGCAGCAGCAGTATTTTGGTCTCTTCCGCTTTGCGGACGGCAGCATCTACTGCTGTTGGACCTCGAAATAAAGAGCATGAGACGAAAAAAAAACTCAGATTTAGGCAATAAAAAAGGTGCTCATGCAAAGAACCCACTTGCTGTACTACGATAGATTACAGCAGTCTATACGATGCTGGGTACTTTGTACAGTACCCCATCGGACAAAAGAAACAGGCCTCGGCCAACTCAGAGACGCACAGAAGAATCAATTCTTCTGGCCAAGGTCGAACACGGACGAGTGAACCTGGCACAGTTTTCTCCTCGACAACAACCCGCGACGAACGGACTTTCGGTATGGTATGATGTTGAAAATCAAGCCGATGCATGCACATGTATGAAAACCGAAGACACACACCCATATTCGGATGTACTCCCACGACCGAAGGTGCTCGCGGCGCTTGTTCTAGCCAGCGAAACCGCGCCAAGGTCATCAATGTTGGGAACCTACCGCGCGGCAGGAACCGCACTTAAATACACCACGCAGCTGTTTCAATGGCACTCGGTTTTCATGCATAGATACATAATTTCACTGATGTATTTTCATCCGGATCCGGATGGATAGCTGCTATGGATGGTTGGATCTGTAACCTGCTGTAGGAAAAATGCAGAAGATTATTACGAATTATGTTACGTACAAGAAGACAGACTACCCGTTCGAGATATCACGACAGTCGAAGGGGATGTATCGAAGTATTCGCAATACGAAAGTGGAGGGAAACTGGCTCGGTACCGGGCTTATTTCGAGTCTGTAATACACCTGTAGTCTTGTACACCGATTATCACGCCAGTGATGCCAGCTGGTGGTAAGCACAAAAACGTCTGTCTTACGCAAAAGCATTGGATAACGGAGGGTCAGGCTACAAATGTGCAGTGGTGTTGGTTGGAAAGGCTACACGCCCTGATACAACAATGTGTCTGTTGCCGGGTTATTCGTCTACAAAAGGTAGCCCACCACACACACAGGTTCAAATCGTTCCGAAGCTAAAGCACAGCAATAATATACGAAGTACTACAGCGGAAATATCATGCCAAGCGAGATGCGGCTGAAGAGTGTTTGCACAATCCTCGCAGGCGGCAGACAACGTCTTCGTGTGACCAGCTTTCAAGAGCAGAGCCCGTGCACGCAACGTTGCCCGGGCGGCGGCTACGTATGTTCATTGCTCTTGATCCGGGGTACCCCCCACGTGGACATCCGCCTCTCGCTGGGTCGTTCTCACGAGGGAAAGATGACATGCCGGGCAGCAGGAGCCACCGATTTCGTCCCTTTTAGGTCATAACGAAAGCATGTCCACTCCACGAGCACAGCGTCATCACGTTATTGCAGGAATATCGACGAACGCATCGATGTTCGTTTTCACCAACCAGCAACAGATCCAGCGAGTGCTCTCTGTCCACACTAGTGCTCAACGGCATTCGCCCCACCCAAACCCTGTCATATATCGCACTCGGCTGCATCGCGGCTTGCGGGGCACTCAATCTCCTTGTCCACCGGTATCCCGACTTTGTTGATGTTGTGGTGTAGCGGCGTTTCATACCTGGGCAGTACGGGTTTCGCATTCGTCGAACGCACGCACGAGCGGCGCGGGGGAACGGAGTCATTCGGCGCGTTCCTTCAATTTATTCTGACAATGGCGATGTTGATGTTCTCTTTCCAGACTGAGCACTGCGCCTACTCCAACAACAACATTCATCGGGAATCACCCATGCTTCTGCCCTATGCTGCATGGGAAATTTACGGCGATAACGTTTTCCCTCCCCCTCGCTGTCTCATGGATCTACTGCAACTAGTCTGTCGCTGCTCGCTAATCAAATATTTTTCATCATGCTGCATCCGACTCTTCCGCGTGCATCCGTAGACGGCATCTCTTCCTTCTCTGTACCCCGGGATACTCAACTTCACTCTTGCCTCAAGGCTTGGGACAAAACACGCATCTCGCCTTTCAGGTTGTCCTGCAAAAATCGAAATTTGAGTAAAATGTTACAATAACAACGCCCCGTTCACCCGCGCCGCTGCCAGCACATGTCATGTACCTTTCTGCGCGGAATTCGAAGTACTCCCTCCTGACACAGTCTTGACCGCTTACCTTGCGACTGTAACCGCCACCCCTCCCCCGTTGGTCAAAGGCTCCACAGTCTGGATGACACCCTTGCCGAAGGTGCGCTCTCCCACCAACATGGCGCGATCATTTTCTCTGCAGAGCGGCAGTCGTCGACGCATACGCGGGGGGTGGGGGTCAACTTTTGTGTGAAGTATCCCCTGAAAAAATACAGAAAAATAAGTGAGCCATGAACGATCTCAGCGCAGAAAATACGAGCGCAGGTGGGTTTACACGTGATAACGATACGCTTTCCCGCGTTGAATACACCACGGTACTGTGCTTGTCAACGAAAATAGCCTCATGTCAAGAAGCACCACAACCAACCTCCCCACACGTGCTCTCCACATGTGGTGGGAAAACGTTCGCAATACGATACGCCGCTCACGTGCTCTTCGGCGAGACATGCTGAGGTACGTAGATTTACAGCGCGTGTGTGATGGGCTTTCGAAACAAGTCCGAAGTACAGATGGCAGTATCAGCCGCTGGTACTCCAGCCGTGACGCCACAACTCCCACCACACAACCAGCGTGCCGGCGCACCTCTCACAGAACCTGAACTCTAAAACGTATACTTTACATCAACCAGGAGAACACATCAAGCATCCACCCCGGGATAACCATTTACACATGATGACGTATCGCCGCATCCGTGCCGACGTTGCGTCTCTCGGCGAAATACACTACAATACCTTACGGCGGCGGCGAACACTTCGGCAGCAGAAGCGGTGCCCTTGTCCACCAGAAGAGTCAGGGGCAGCCCTTGCGCCTGCGGGCCCGCCTCCAAGGTTGTCCGGCCTTCCACCGAGCCGTTCTTGCGGATAATGAACACCACGTCCTGTTCTTGACGGGAGCGGTCAGCGCGGCGAGAAGAGGATCGGAAACAGCTCCAATTTTATCACTTATGGAGACTGCAACACGTCCCTTCGGATGGGGAATCATACTTCGGAAGGGTAGCCTTTTATGTGATCAACAGTTTTCGTGTCTGGTGAGAAGTGGGATCAGTGGCACAGCCGGGAGACGCGTAGTGGTTCCGAGGTTTTCCGAGTCATGAGTACCACCGTCAACGTCCCGTGCTGTCCTCTGTATCACACCAACCAACAGGACAACGAAAATCAGAGTTAGAAATGAAGATACCGGGGTGCGTATCGCTTTGGCCTTATCGCTTTGGCCTTATCGCTTTGGCGCAGAGAAGCGGCGGGCGCTAAACAGAGGTAAGCGCGGTTGAGAAACATACCAAAACAAACAACACCAGGTGAGCAGCACTGACGCAGACAACAACAAAACAGAACGTAAACATACGTGGGGCAAAACTCAACGTCACCGCCGGACGACTTGCCGGTGTCGCACTCCACTGTGCGACGTACGTACAAGTGAGGGATGACCATACCCGTTCCCACCGGTTACCCGGCTGAGAAGAACATTGCAATGGGTTTCAGCCGTCTTTTCTACTCGATTTCACACTTACTACCGGTGCGAAATATCGTCCAAACCTCAAGAAGAGGGTGCCGAACATCTTCGCTCCGTTTCGGCACCTCCCCCCACTCTACGCCAGACCAACGGCGCTGCTGAGCAAGCAATCTAGGCTCCCAGCGGGGGGCGTGGGGCCCACCTCACGCCCGGGTCTCACAATTCTACAACACGTTATCTCAAACTCACGGGAGCGAAGAGAGAGAGAGTGATCGCTAATGCATGGCAGCCATGTACCCGTCTCACGATTTCCTTCGTACCTCTTCGCGCTCTCTCCAACCTCACGGTAGACAAAAGTCACCGCTAATTTGCATTCCGAGCCCGATGGTAGACGTTGCCCCGACGTGGTCAACATTTGTGCAAAAATTAGCAGGACAACACGCCACGAGCACGTTCGACGCGTGCTCTCTCGACGCTCACGGGAGGGCAAGATAAACGATAGCAAAACATAATGTGTTTTACACCAGATAGACTACCGTCCACGTGGTTCCGACGTTTGCGTCACGATATTGTAGGGGCACGGAATGGCGCTTGGCAAGGCGGTCGCTCACCTTCCCTGAGTCAAGGAACAAGCCAGCCGTGTCTATGCCGCCGGGCAGCAGTCCGCCGACGTTTCCCCTAAGGTCTACGACGATTCGAGACACTCCACTGGACTTGAACCGCTCCACCGCGGCCTTTACGTCCCCGGCGGTGTTCGAGCTGAAAGACTTGATCCGCACTATCTGGATGGTGAAGGCAAAAATACATGGGTGGATGGGTTAGTGACTTCTTCCATTACTTTTGGCACTAGTCTACATACCTCTTGGTCTACGTTTCTGACGTAGAAGCTGATACTGCACGTCAGCAAAGGGGTCGGGCACAAAAACGGAGCCCACGCGAACCGACCGCAAGCCAGTCCCCATCGCGCGACAAGCCAATACTGTACACGAACATACACGCGCGCATGTTTCACAGCGGAGGTACGAGGGCGAGGTGAGCGACGAATTGGTCCACAACGGCTTGCTGCGGTATTTGCGCCGTGAGTACCACCCACTAGGCAAAACCAGACTGGTCAGGGTTACATCAAGAACCTCGGGGCCTTTCGCACCAATAAAAGACGACGTTTCCTCGCTCGTGATAATCTCGAAACGAAGTGTACTGCTTCACAGCTGGTGCCACTTTCTGCCATGGCTAGGCCACAAGGCCGCCATATCACCTATCAACACTTCGCAAGAAGATACAAAAGTGGTGTTGTCGGAATTATATCGCTGGCTGAACTAGATGTGATGTTTGGGCCATTGTCTGTTAGTGGATTCAGATGATAAGCCTCAGGACTGCGTTGCAATAGCTTTCAGCGAGTAGCAGCTAAAACACGCTCGGTGTTGAGATCAGGCAAGAGCAAAAGCGAAGAGAAAATCATCATTTGACGCAGGCAGACGCATTGCAGACTTTCATTGGCAACTCGGGCAACCTGGGGAAGACATGGCGTATGCAACACACAGCCGAGGTTCCGTCATCCACACCATCGCATTCAACACAACCCAGCCCACATCCCGGAAAATGTTCGCGAATTAACGAACCGATAAACGCGTGTGCAAGCAAAAAGGCACTGTTTTCCTGGCCAGGCGACAATGGCAAAACACAAATTCTCGTTCGAGTCTGGTTGCCGGTGTTGGTAACACTTTCACAAAGGTTGCTACTCGAACTCTACCCGCTGTCAGCGAGTAGCGCGACCAAAACTTGACTTGCTCTCAAAGGTCCGCATTCACGCTCAAGGCATACAGGTTGTGCTCTTGCTCAAGTCGAAACGCGCACCGAATAGCTACAGCAGACAACGCAGAACACGTACCCCAATCTTCCGGCCGTTGACCGTGACTTCCCGCGGAATGACTCCCTCCACCTTGAACTTGCGTCGAGTAACGATCAAGTCCAGCTTCTCTCCCCCCGCCCCGTCAGAAGCTGGCCGCTCCGCGACAATACCGACCTTAGTGTTTTCCGTTCCCCTCAGCAAAGCCGCCGCGTCGTCTGGGGCGAGGCCTCGGCACTCGTCTCCGCTTATCTGCAGCAGAAGATCCCCCGCCTGCCGAGGAATGATCAGCGAATAATTGGCGGGTGAATTTCCAGTAGTATTATTATTCCTCAAGACCTCGACTCCAAGACCGTTTATGGTGGTATGAGAGCGCTCGGCATATATATTCCATTCTCACAAGTCAGTGGTCCCGTGAAACGTGTGATCATTACATTTGCCGCTGAGCTCCCACGGACGATCGGCTCTTTGGCCGGAAGTGTGAGTGGGAAAACCGACGAGCTACTTATGAGGCCAATTAATAGCACATTATAGCGTAGAAGCTTGCTCGAGCAAGGCTAGCCTCTTCACGAGGGGTACTAAGGTAGTGTGAATGGCCGATCGAAAAGAGTCAAAAGCGACTAACGTTCGTGTAGCTCGTGTGCGGTTGGCAGTCAACCGCGAGAGCTGCATAAGGTTTGTGCTTGCACTCGACGTAGTAACATGTATAGCTACCAACCAAACTCTAAGGGTAATTGATCCTTTTACCATGGGATATAGAAAGGCGAATCTTTGTCACTTTTACGGCACGCTATTCCAACCTCGCGAGTAACTCCGCAAAAAACCGACGCTAAGTCTGGGCAAATTCCCACCGTGCAGAATCGTTTTCCATTCGTCCAAGCCACAACCGTGATACAGCAAGCGAGATTCAAAGCGATCAATATATGCTCGAAAGCACGGGTGGCGCTATCTTGGGCCCACGACATCCTTCCCCCCTCCCCTCATCATTTTTCACCTGAAGGCCCGCCTCCGCCGCGGGTGTCCCGCTCTCGACCCCGACAATGAGCGGCAGATCTCGCCCACCGTCCACGGACAACGAGACCCCGACTCCCGCCACATCGCCTGAAGAGGACTGCGGAAATATCGTGTGGAGGCGTTCCGGGTGGTGTGTGGGGGCGGACGTATGTTACGTCTCTTGTCAACACAGCAGCTGCCCCTTACGGCTACAACGATACAGCCCCCTGCGCCAGTAAACCATCTCACCGGATTTACCGGGAGAGAGAGAGAGAGACAGAGAGGCAGAGAGACAGACAGACAGATAGAGACAGAGAGGCACAGAGACAGACAGACAGATAGAGACAGAGACAGAGAGGTTGTGAAGGGTAGATTATCCGGGCACAAAATACAGAAAGGGTGCCATTGTCGGTTGGAAGGCCTTGTAAGCAGAATCGCGGGGTACACGCGGGCGCGTACTTCAACTGGTCAACAAACGTAGTCACCAATGAGGTGCAGAGGAGGTTTACTCAGTTTTATGTGCCAAAACCAGACCTAGCTGGCGAGTGTCGGCCGGTAGCCCAAGAGCGGGAGCTGCCCTTGTGCCCACACACGAGGGGGGGTCTTTCGGGCAATACATTTTTTTCGAGAGGGAGAGTGGCCGACGCTACAGGAGACGGGGTTCGCTGGGAAATTGCGGAGACACCTGCAACAGATACCAAGTAAGAACGGTTTCAGCCCACACAGGCAAAAAAAAATAAACTCGACTACCTTAAAGATACAAAGCTTTACAAGGCTGAACATCGACGCTACATAACCATGATACGCACTACAGCGGCACCATATCTAATAGACCGCCTGTGGAGAACACGACGGGGAAGCGTGAATAGAAGTCAACATCATGAACTTTCGACTTAATCCGAACCCTGGCTCAAGGTTTCTCCTAGATGAAGATGCCGACGAATCCCACCACGGTTGTGGAAGATAAGATAGCACCCAGCCCTCTAACGCGTGGCCTTGCTCAGCTTGGGTTCCCACCAAGACGAAGGGGGGCAAAGCCCAAAATCTCCACGTGGCTTTTCCGACCGAATCGGCAAAAAAATTGTAGCATGGAGGTCGGTGCTCGGTATTGCCACCCTCCCGGTCGGGGCCCCGTGGCTAGAACCGGGGGGGTCGGTCCGGGTAGGACACATCCGATCAGATCTACGTAGGTACCTGCACAATGGTGGCGTACTTGGCTGGGGGCAGGTACCGTGTGTAGCGATCACCAAGCGACGCCAGCATCTTGGACAACGCCGAGTTGAGGTCGGACTCTGTCATGCCCTTCGCAGCGTCCTGGGGAAAGAAAATCGTGAGCATGGAGACAAAGAAAAAGGCGAACGACATGGGACCAGAACCAAAAGATGCAAAAGAAACACCGACAAAGCTAATTAGCGCGGATACGCTTCAAATGGACGCTCCGACGCTCCGCCTTGCTACCAAAGTGAACCTACTGAATAGAACCATGCAAAATGGCACCTGCCGCAAGCGGACAAAGCACGAGTAACGATAGAATCACCTACTACACAACAGGAATCAAGTACCGAGGTCGGCATTGAACGCCACAACGCACGAACCACCCAGCGATCGTCCCAAAGAAAAGGCGTCGGGTGGTGCTCTACTGCTGTATTTCCTCGATAACTGGCAGATGCAGTCGTCAGACGCAAGGCGCAGTAGCTGAACCGAGCAGCACGCCACACAGGCGCGAGCTCATATACCTATGTTAGGTGTGGTCGAAAACGTTCTCGTCGAGGAAGGCAGCTTCCTTACTGGTAGAGTACGGGAGACGGTTGTGACATGAAATAACAAACTGTGTGAGTGTCTATTTCAATAGCATCAACCGCGCTAACCGGCTGACCAATGAACAGACGTCAGTCTCAACGAAGTTGAAAACACGAAACACTTTTAGATGCCATGAACTGGGACCCTGTGGCGGGGTGGCGTAGGCGAGGCTAAGCTATTCTCCCGATTTAAGACAGAGTGTATTTGTGTTCGTCCCATCTGTTCTGGCGCCGGTTACAGGTATTCCGGCGTACATCCCTCACGTATCAGCCGGAAATACAAGAGGAAAGTCACACAGGAGCTTTTTTCAACATTGTTTTTGTTTCATTGCGCCACCTTTCTTTACCCATGAGCTCGCGAGGAAGAGGAGTACTGCGGTCTTCGCGTGCTTCGTCGATCTCACCAAGGCGTACGATTCGGTGGACCGAGATCTGCTGTGGGACGTGCTCGGACGCTTTGGCGTGCCCCCGAAGATGCTGGCGGTCATTCGCCACTTCCACGAGGGCATGAGGGCGCGGGTTCGAACGGACGACGGGCAGTACTCGGAATGGTTTGACGTCGGCCAAGGTCTCCGACAGGGGTGCAACCTGGCCCCGCTGCTGTTCAACTTGTTCTCTGCCGCGATGCGCATGGTCGCAGTGACCGAGTTCGAC